TCACCTTCCTTCTGCAGACAGTATATGCTTTCCGGTTACTTTTAGTGAGACTGTAGAAGCTGATGGCAATTTTTTTTTTATCCTGAAAATATCTCTGACTTGCCCTCCTTCAAACCTAGAATCACTGAACACCCAGCCTACTGAATACATTATTCATTCCCCATACTCAAGTTGCCTTCTAGGGGCAGCTGTCACTCTAAGCACTATGCCTCTCCTGGTGGTCTTTCCTTTCTCTCCACTTGCTTCAGAGATGTCTTTATGATCTGGTTTCTGTCCTGATGACATGGCTGTGATTTATTTGTATCCACTACGGTTGAAACTCACGAGGTCTCCATAATCTAAAAATGAGTTGCTTTAAATAATTATAGAAAATTCTCACTTTTACTTGCCAGGTGTTTTTATTATTATTACTTTATGCTCTCTTTCCTTTCTCTGGAACTTTTTCTCAACATATTTGGACCTTCTCACTCCACCCTTCATACCTCTTGACTCATCTTTGTCATTCAGCTGCACCCGGAGCCTTTTCTCGGGGCTACCTAGTTCAGTAACTCTCTTTAGCCCTGCTTAATATGGCATTACATGCCATGAGGAGCAAGCCAGTAAACAGAACTCTTCATGGGTCCTGTCTCTGCTCCTGCTTTAGTTCCTGCCCTAAATACTCATCAGCTGTGCTCAGGACATGTATGTCAAATAAAATACCTCCCTGGAGGTGCTTGTGGTCATGGTATGTATCGCAGCAATGGAAAGGAAACTAAGACAATAGCATAAACAGAGTGTGTATGCACATGTGTGCGTATGTGTGTGCATGTGCGTGTGTGTGTGTGTGTGTGTGTGTGTGTGTGTGTGTGTGTGTGTGTACTAAGGCTGTGTGTCAGAAAGCCTTGGCACATACATGCCATAAAGCCTTGGTGCGTCGCAGGCTATAGCATCCAGGGTTATGTGATTACACTCCACAGTATTCAACCAACAAGGAAATCACCTAACAGCATACTTCTCATAACATTTCCCTGTCATTAGGTGACTCATAGCTGCGGGCGATAGTCTCACTCTGATCACCCCCTGAGATAACAGATCCACCAAACTCCCAAGTCACAGCTGGGCAGAAGCCCCAAATAAGGGGAAGCCATAAGCCAGAGGTGCTGTTTGAACTCGGTACAGGACAGCAATAGACGTTTGGGTCGAAGCTGCTGAGCCCCTCCCCCTTGCTGCCCAGCTTCATCATCTCTTCCTCCTCTCCCCATCTCCTGGTTGCCAGGAAACCTCTCCACAGCCTGCACACTTCACGTCTTCTTATCTGACCTATGATAGCTTATCCATGCTGTGGGGAAAAACGAAAGTAGAAAGACCTCTGAGAGGTATAACAGCCTCCAAACTACTGCCCGGCTTAACATTAATCATTAACATTCAGCCGAGTTGTCTCAGAGGTCAAAGTGCGCCTCGATCACACACGGAAGTTGCAATCTAGTGAGTATCTTTTTTTCAGACGAAGTCATCAAACAGCCTGGAATAGCAAGGACTCTAAATTCACACCTATGTGTACAAATAAGGGTCGATAGGGCCTTTATTGGGTCTCTGACATTATTCAGAAAAACGATTTCCTGTGGCTTGATTTCCTGTACTCACTTTAGAAGCTGGAAGAACCTGCCAATGAGTAAACCTCAATGACACATCAAGGACCTAGTGTAAAGACAGATAGAGGCTCGGATCAGAATGTTTCTCCTCAAACAGATTAGTGGATCAGATGTCAGAGCCTCGACATTCTTGCCTTCCAGTATCAGATTTCCGTTCAAATTTAAAATGTCAGAAAACTATAAATATTATGCAATAATGGGTTTAAAATGTCAGAAAACTATAAATATTATGCAATAATGGGTTGGACAAAACATGAACTCATCTCTTCGAACAATTACATGTTGGATTTTTAACTCAGACTTAAACATAACAGAGTCCAGCCACAAGGAGGAATTGTGTTAAAGAGGAGAACACAAGTTATAACGTTTGACCGTTGTGTTTCTATTCCTTTCTATTACAAGGCTGTTCCAGTCAGCCTGTGCTACTGTGACAAAGACCCGAGGTGGGTGACTCAGAGGAGAGGCTTCTCCGAGCTCATGATTTCAGAGGTTTCTGTCCACAGTCAGCCAGCACCAGGGATCCAGCTCGTGAGGGCAGGAGTGCCTGATAGAGATGCCATCCTCAGGGTGGGAGCCAGGAAGCAAAGGGAGAAAGAAAGAGCAGGAACCCTTCCAAACCACATCCCCGGTGACACGCCTTCCTTCCACCACAGCCCACCTTCGAAAGGGCCCAGCGTGGCACCTCAGACCAGGGACCAAGCCTTCAGCACGAGGGCCCTCGGAGAACAGCTCAGACCCACACTCGGTACCAACTATGGATTCAGGTGTTGCTTTTAAACATCTTCAGGGTATGTGCTAGTGCTAGTGGCTGAGACTCAGAGCAGACCCACCTCAGATTTTTTTTTCCAGTGTTAATGGTATAATTTTCCAATGGCTTTAATCAAACAACTTTCTCTCCTACCCCATTGCTCAATACCAAACATCACACACACACACACACACACACACACACACACACACACACTGTCTGCATGTCTCTAAAAGCTTGCTAACTGCAAGTTTCAGCTGTGACATCTGTTAGCAAAGTGATCTGTGACTCCAACGCACATCAGGATCTGCTTGCTGCGTGGCCAGCCATCGACGGTGAGCGCTTGGGGCAGGTTAGCTGATGGGCGGGCGTGTGAATAGGTGGCAGTGCAAAGGCTGTCCACACATGCCACTCAGTGCCCGAGGCAGGGCTGGCACTGTCAGTTTTTAACTCTGTGTAGCTTCTCCTTTACAAAACTTACAGCTGAGATAAAACACAGCACAAACTCTTGCTTGAAGGCACGCTATTTATAAGGCAGAAACAATGCCATCTTTATTTTAGAAGAAAGTTATTTGGAAGAAGAAGCAAGCAGATTCCAAATTTGCTTCCGTGTGTGTGTGTGTGTGTGTGTGTGTGTGTGTGTGTGTGTGTGTATGCTCTGGCTTTACTCACACGCAAATCTCCTATCAATAAGCATTAAGATGGGAATCAGTTGTGTGTTTTCTGTGACCTTCCCAATACCTTCTAATTAATTTGATTAAAAGAAACGGCGCAAGTGTTTCAAGAGAGGCGACTTTTTCAGTCAGAAGTCCGAATGAAAGGGACCTCTGTGAGGAAGCTCGTTGCTCCGTACACCCAGGGAGTGCTTACCCTCAGCTCCCCGATGGTGAGACAGTACCCACAAGAGTGCATAGAGGAAACAGCAAATTTGCCTGCAGAGAGACGGACTTGGCCTCTAGGAGGAAGGTTTACTACTCAAGCGAATCAATAGACTGAGTGGCTGAGGCTTGGAATAATTGCCCTCTTTCATCCGTGGCCTCTGGAGGTTGGGTGTGAGTCCCTGAGGCCACCCGCAACCTTCCTTCTCGGGGAACCACTTTGCCCCAAGTGCAGGAATCTGCAAGGCGGAGCAAGCTTCTGTAGCCGGATCCACCAGGGTCCTGCTGCAGCATCAGGATGGGAGAAGCAGAAAGCATCTCCTGATGGTGTCCAGCTGGCCTCAGACAGGGGAGGCAAGCTCCTGCTCACAACACGCCCCGTATAAAAACTGAAGTTGCTCAGTAATTTAAGTCTTTAAAAGCACTTTTCAACCATTAGATTCTAGTATTTAAAGATATTTGCAAGGAGCCAGGCACGATGGCACATGCTTGTAATCCCGGCACTCAGCAGGCAGAGGCAGGTGGATCACTGTGAGTTTGAGGCCAGCCTGGTCTACAAAGCAAGTCCAGGACAGCTAAGGCTACAAAAAGAAACCCTGCCTCAAAAGAAAGCATATAAATAAATATATACATATATATGCAAGATTTTTATAATAAATTTGTTTCAAAACAAAGAAGAAAAAACTCAGGAGGGGCTCCCAAGGGCCCCCATCTGTAGCCTAGGAGTTCCTGACAGTTGTAAGCAGCTAGAAACCAGGAAGAGGATCTATGGCTACGGACAGGTTGCCCACGCCCTAGCAGGTGGATGGCCCCACACCTACAAACACACACGCAGCACTAATTAGATTTGTTGGGTTATTTTCTTTAAAGGCGTAAAGTTGGGTGAGATAAGTGTCAGAGCCTCTGGAGCAGTTGGAGAGGGAAGTCAGGGTGGGTATTACCAAGGTACATTGAATACATATCTGAAATATGTAAAGATATTTTTAAAATATATTTTAAAAACTCCAAGGTCAACTGATCCACCAACCGCCTATCCTCATTTACAGATTTACACATTCACCATAGTTAGCCCTGGAACTCTCTGCATGCGTGCGCTTTGAGGCAGGGTCGTTACGCAACACTGGGCTAGCCTGGGACTCCTTACTTAAACCAGGCAGGCCGAAAACTTGTATCGATCCTCCTGCCTCTGCTTCTCAGGTGCTGGAATCACACAGGTGTGCACTAACCCGCCCAGCTTCCTTCAAGATATTTCAACAGACTGAAACTTTAACTTCTAAACAAGGGTAAGCTTAAAAGCCAAAGTTAAAGGACCATAGAAACAGAGGTTCTGAAAAGCCATGCATCATCCAAACCAGCCATTGCCTTTTCTCACTGGGGTGACTTACCATCATGTTACCACAGCTGTCTTGTTCAATGCCTAAATTATTCATACAGATTGTAAATATTCTTCATTTGTATACAGGGATAAAAAAGAAAAACCTGCCGGGGCAGGTGCAACCTGAAAGAATACCCCTTCCTCGTTCTTTTTGTTACCTCTGTTTATTAAAAAGAGATCACCCCCCCCCCAAGAAAAGCCTTTAAGAAGTGCCTCGGTGCCTCTGGTAGTAATTTCTGGAATGGAGTGAAACATATTGCTGTACAAAAGAGGAGGAGGGGGAGGGGGAGAGGTGGACTGTGTCATTCCTGAGGTGGCATGGCAGCAGAGGAGGAGTCTCCTGGACTCTATAAAAGGTCAGCTCCACCACACCGCGAGACAGACAGGCTGTGCTCCAACTTCAGGCTCTAGGTGTTGCCTCTCAGCATCCCAGATGGATTTCAGTCGTCGAAGTTTTCACAGAAGTACGAGTTCCTCCTCACAAGGCCCGGCACTCAGCGTGAGTGGCTCCCTGTACAGGAAGGGGAGCATGAAGCGCCTGGGGGCTGCGCCCAGCGTCTACGGTGGAGCCGGAGGCCATGGCACTCGGGTCTCCGTCTCCAGGTCTGTAGTGAACTACGGGAGCGACCTCTCCAATGGAGGGGACCTGTTTGGTGGCAATGAGAAGCTGGCTATGCAGAACCTCAACGACCGGCTGGCAAGCTACCTAGAAAAAGTGCGCCTCCTGGAGCAGTCCAATGGCAGACTTGAAGCCCAGATCAAGCAGTGGTACGAAACCAATGCGCCCAGCACCATCCGGGACTATGGTCCCTACTACACACAAATCAAAGAGCTGCAGGATCAGGTGAGTCACGAAGCCTGGGATTCCTACCTTGCTGTTCAGTTGCGTAACAGATTAAGGGGGATGTGTGCTAGGTGACTTCAGACACATGAAGCAGATTAGGTTGAAATTTAGAAACGAAAAACTAATTTTATTTTTATCATGTGGTATCTATAAACAGGGTGAGTTTCACTCACACTTTTTCTAAAACTTCAACCAGATTGCATTTTAAAATGTGATGATTTTTATCATCCAAAATTAGTCTGTGTCTTTGTCATGGCTTACAATATCGGGTCTTTGTGGTGAATAACCTTATTTCTTAAAAGAGCTGCAAGAGTTTCTATGTGAGTTTGCCACTAGATGATACTAACTTTGAAGACTCAAATCAATTTAAAGAGCTTTTTCTCCTTTCGCTTAAATGAATGTTATAATACAAGTATTAACCTACTATTGGCATAAGTAATAAAAGGGTTTCGGGGGTAGAGACAGAATACGGAGATTAATGGTATCTATTGATTGATAGATGGGTGGGTGATAGGTGGGTAGCTGGGAGGTTGGATGAATGGATGGACGGACAGACAGATGGACAGACAGATGGGTGGATGAAATAGTTATTCATACAAGATCTCACTGTGTATCTCAGGCTAGTCTGGACCTGACCACCCTCCTGCCTCCATCCCTCCAGCACTGGGGTGAGAGAAGTTTGCCATCATGCACAGTTATGATGCCTGGATTTTTCCTAATGTCTTGTTTAGTTATCTCCTCACTATCACCAAGCATTTTATAATGCACCTCCACAATAATAAAATGTTCTATTACCCCCAATTCAAGTTTATTGCAGTCATATCGTAATCTGGTCCTGTGTCATCCAAGGTAGACGGGGTTCTTGGCGGAGTAAAACTGGCAGACTTTGCTCCTGAGTGAGGATGTCAAGCCATTTGCTTTGCTCCAACATTCTTATCTAATCAAGAAAAGCATCCCTTTCAGTTTTGTTTTGTTGTTTTTTTTAAATCATTGCCCCTTTGGAACAAAGGACTTTGACTTACCAGAGGGGCCTCTTTTCTTGAGCTGTATTATAGGCATCAAGGCAGCTTGATTCAAACTTCACAGAAACCATCAGCTCAAGCCGCTATGGTGACTGCCCTTCCCGTCAACCGGGCGTGCCTGCAGGCTTTTTGCTACAGCTCATTCTCCAGTACTCTGTCAAGGTTGATGCCTCTGAATTGATTTGGGGATTATCCATGATACTTAGGCACAGCTATTAGTGTCCACTTGCTGGAAGCCTGTCAAGAGACCTCTCTCCAGGAAAAGCCACGGAAAGAGATGTGTCGCACTAAGGTCTGCTAGAGGTTGACCTACAACCTGAAAGAATACAGTGTTTGCCTTGACACATAAGAGCCTGAGCTCAGCACCCTGGTTAAAACACAAAATTGGAAGCCGGGAGAGTTGGTGCACGCCTTTAATCCCAGCACAAGGAAGGCAGAGGTTGGCAGATCTCTGTGCGTTCAAGGCCAGCCTGGCCTACAAAGTTAGTCCAGGACAGCCAGGGCTACACAGAGAAACCCTGTCTCAAAAAAATAAAAATAAAAATAAAAATTGGAGAATGATGGCATGTGCTTGTAATCCCAATGTTGGAGAAGTAGAGACAAGCAGATCCCTGAGGCATGCTGGTCAGACAGCCTGGCCTACTTGGTGAGTTCCAGGGCAAAGAGAGACCCTGTCCCACCTCCCCAAAAAAAGGTAGACAGTGCTTAAGGAATGACACGCAAGATTGTCCTCTGACCTCCACATGCACACAGCTGTGCATATGAACACATACACACAGAGAGAGAGAGAGAGAGAGAGAGGGAGAGAGAGACAGGGTGTGTCCATCCTCCTGTCCTGTGCCTAACTCCTAATCAGACGGCACATTCTCATTCAGCCACCATTTCATAGGCACCAGCTGGGTCCTGAGCATCACACACAGCGGAAGATGACTCGAAATAAAGTGCTTTAGGTGGAAACAGGCGTGGACAAAGGCCACTGTCACTCAGAGAGGCAAATGCTGGAAGGCCGTGAAAGGCAACAGCCGCAGGGTCACGTCCACTGCTAGCACTGGAGGATGTCACTAAAGCCTCCCCACCCCCACCCGGAAGCCATGCTGTCTGAGCTGAGAGTAGCTCACCAGGGGAGAAGGGATAGCAGCCACAGTCTGGGTGTTAACAGTGCCACAGAAAAGGCACTCCAAAAGGGTTCATTCTGTACGATGACAAAGAAAATAGGCCACACCGAAAGTCCTGTTTTAGCTCTAGTACATTAATACCTTCGTCACTATTCCTCTCACTTATTCTCGCATGGACATTCTTGAAGTGGACACCATTTCTGCTGCAATTACAGTTGTCTCTGAGGACAAATAATATCGTGCCCAGGTAAATGTCAGCCTTTCTTTCTCTCACGTTTTTTTTCCAGATTAGAGGCTCGCAAATACAAAATGCCCGCTTAGTCCTGCAAATCGACAATGCCAAGCTGGCCGCGGAGGACTTCAGGTTGAAGTAGGTTCTCTAAACCACAGCAAAAAGATGTTTGTGTGTGTGTGTGTTTATTGTGTTGGTGTGTGTGTGTGTGCATTGCTGTACTATGTATTGTGTTGAGGGGTGTGTGCATGTGTGTGTGTTGGTGTGTGTGTGTGTGTATGTTGGTGGGGGATTTGTTTGGGCTTCTATTTTTGAGATAGGGCCTTGCTGTGTAGCCCAAGCTGGCCCCAAAGTCAGCATCCTCCTGACTCAGCCCCTAAAGACCTGGAATTGCAGGCGTCGACCACCACACCCAGCACCACGGTAGTATTTTCCAAAAAGCAATCATTTTAGTAGGGTTTTTTTGTTGTTGTTGTTATTTATTTAGCTTGTATGTAGGTACGAGCGGGGGTGGGGGGAAGGAGAAGGTGAGGAAGAGGATAGACAGAGAGAGAGCACCACTGTAAAGATCAGAAGACACTGGCAGGCCTCAGCTCTCTCCTTTCTGCACAAGTGCCCTTCTGTGACGTGGGAGCCACATGTCTCCACTGGGTGACCCTCCACAGAATCACGCCACGGACACATGTGGCCCCCACATCACAGCCAGATTCCACGGGCGAGTCCTGTACCTTCCGGCATGCTGGTGTTCTGCAGTCTCATCCAGTCAACCCACGAGCCAACCTATATTAATACACTTCACATTGTGTTCACCTTCTTGGACACGCTCATGTTCCCTCAGGGCTGATGAACAGTAGGGCCTCCTAGGGGTCCCGGTCTGCAGGATGTGTCCACACCAAGGACACTGCAGTTTAGGACAGTGTTCTGACACTGGAGGAGAGTACAAAGAAGGAGATCAAAAAGCAGGCCTGAAGGTGAAGCAGTTAGGTCTCTGAGCGCCAGGGTTACTCATCGGCAGCTGGGTACTCTGTCATGTTACCTCTTTGTCTGTTTGCAACGGTGTGTTCGAATTTTTGTCTTTGGTAGGAGGTTGTAGAGGAAAAGAAATCACTAAGATGACTCACAGTGGATGCATCTCTTTACAAAAATGATGAAAATGAGTTCACCCTGTAAAATTCACAGTTGAGTTGTTAGTTTCTGGAGTGTTTGGGGGCCATTGTTTGTTTGATTTGGGATTTTTTTTTTTAATTTTGGTGTTGATTTGGCTTGGGCTTTTAGGTTTGTTTCCTATTGTTTTTACAGATCAAGCCCAGGGCCTTATATGCAAACATTCTACCACCCGGCTACAACCATAGATCCTGAGTTTAGCAACTTTTCAAAGCTTCAGACTGCAAATGAACAGAAACTATATATGTGTGTGTGTGTGTGTGTGTGTGTGTGTGTGTGTGTGTGTGTGTGTGTCTGTGTGTCTGTGTGTGTGTCTGTGTATAAGCATTTTGCCTGTATGTATGTCTGTGCACCATGTGTATGCCTGGTGCCCACAAAGACCAGAAGACCAGAGAAGGCATCAGATCCCCTGGAACTGGGGTTACAGATGATTGTGAACCACCATGTGGGTGCTGGGAATTGAACCCGGGTCCTCTGCAAGAGCAGCCAGTGCTCTTAACCACTGAGCTGCCTCTCCAGGCCCAGAGACAGATTACATTACAGAGTAAATGATCTGGTTCCAGATTCTCATTCTTTTTTCTTTTTTCCACAAATATGTAAAGGAAGTTGTTATAAAGTACAGGGATCATCTATCTCATTATATTACATTACCTCCTCTATGACAGCCTCAGAAGGACTTGATTGTGTCTGTATCTGCACTCACTGCCAGGTTTGAGGCCGAGAGGGCAATGCGTGTGACGGTGGAGGCTGATCTCCAAGGCCTGGGCAAGGTTTTTGACGACCTGACCCTTCAAAAGACAGACTTGGAAATTCAGATTGAGGAGCTGAACAAAGACCTGGCCGTCCTCAGGAAAGAACATGCAGAGGTGAGAAACACGCAGACATGTCATAAAGGAGTGACGAGGCAGCTCCAATAACAAAAGTGAGATGGAAGAGAAACGGGAAGTAGAAAAAGAGACGATAGTGATGGTGGTGGTGGAGAGGGAGGTGACAGTGATGGAGGTGGTGACAGTGATAAAGTCAATCATGACACCAACCCTAACTTTTTTTTCGTGAGGTTACTCTCCGTTAAGTCACCGAAAGCAGTGCCCAGATCACAGGACACCGTCTTCTTGTTTCCTTTCATCTTTACTCATCCGCAAGCGAAAGAAGTCACAGATTCATTACACCCTTTTCACACATTTTGAGAATGTGTTTGAGACTAACCTCACTGAGACGCTCACTCTCGTAGGAAGTCGAGGCCCTTCGCCGGCAGCTGGGCAACACTGTCAACGTGGAGGTAGACGCGGCTCCGGGCCTGAACCTGGGAGAGATCATGAACGAGATGAGACAGAAATATGAAATTCTGGCCCAGAAGAACCTGCAGGAGGCCAAAGAACAGTTTGAGAGACAGGTAATTCCAGAGTGTGAGTGGATGTGTGTAGCTCTGCCCTACAGAAGACAGCTCATCTGGTCTCTCTCTCTCTTTCCGTCCTTCTGTCTTCTCTTCCTTTCTGTTCTTCTTCCCCCTCCCTTCCTTCCTCTCTTTCATGCCTTTCTTTGCTCACTTTTATTATTATTGTTGTTTCTTGGAATGCTAGAGTGAAGCTTTGCAGCAACAGGTCACGGTGAACACCGAGGAGCTGAAAGGGACCGGGGTTCAGGTCACTGAGCTGAGACGCACCTACCAGAACCTGGAGATAGAGCTGCAGTCACAGCTTGGCATGGTGAGCTCTTCTGCCCTCCGGGCGGCCCCGTTTAGTCTGTGCCGCCAAAGGCCTGTGCTCAGAACTGTGGAAGCACAGACTCCCGCACCAAATAACCTCTCCCCTGGCAGAGCCAACAAGGAAACAGGTCCAACGGCTAATAATAACCACACAGAAAGAAGCTGAGGCAAGGGCAAGGAACTGTGCAAATACAGAGGAAAGAGCAGATCTTGATGATTCCACGGGAGAAAAATCACATTTGTCCTGGATCTTAAATCCAAGATGAGCTTTAGTTTGGAGGAAAAGAGTAGAGACACTGCAGGTGAGGGAAATCCACACATGCCCACGGCAGGTTATGCCGACAGCATTCCCGGGGTGACTCCCAGCATTTCATTTCAGGGGCCAGAGATGAAGGGACAGACCTGTCTGGGTCATGGCAATGTGGCAGAAAAGAGAGAGAAATAGCTGAGCTGTGGAGTAGCCCTTAGCATTGAATCTCAGGGAGGATAAAAAAAAAATGGCAATTTTGCCTGCATTTCATCAGCCAAAGATCAAGCCTGGCCCCCACCGGTGGAGACCTAGTCCTCCACTGACGTCACAAATCATATGGCCAGGCCTACCGAAAGCATGGTAGGCATGACCTCCTCCCCAGGGCACAGGGCATCGTACAGTAGACACAAAGCTCACAAAGGGGAAAATAAAATCCGAGAGATGGCAGGCGTAGCTGGCTGGCTGAGGCTGGCTACCTGGGAGGAAGGAAAGAAGAGCTGGGAAAATGGGTGGTGCTCAAAGGCTGCAAAAACGTCTTCCCAAAAGGTAACAACCATGCTGCTGCTTGCTTCAAGTCAGCAAATAAGGGACCCGCTCCTTGTCTTGCCCTCTTAGAAAGAGTCTCTGGAGCGCACCCTGGAAGACACGGAGGCTCGGTACGCCAAGCAGTTGGCAGCCATCCAGGGAATGCTGAGCTCCCTGGAGGCCCAGCTGATGCAGGTCCGGGCTGACATGGAACGCCAGAACCAAGAATACAATATCCTCCTCGACATAAAGACTCGCCTAGAGCAGGAGATCGCCACCTACCGCCGCCTTCTGGAAGGAGAAGATGTAAAGTAAGGCCCTTGGCACCACCCATGGGAATGCGTGCCCGTGTCTGGTGGCAATTCTCTTTCACAGTCCTTGTCGAGGCCACCCCCAGCCCAAGAGCAGTTTTACACACGCATCCATGAGACCAAAATACACCAAAGAGCCAAAAAAAAAAAAAAATACACCCCACATATCAATAGCCTTTGAATGAGGTCTTGCGGTGGGACTTAAGCCAGAAGCCCCGTTCTCCAAGTGATACTGATCGTGCTTTTATCAATTCTTATGCCACATGGATGATTGGAAGCATAATGACCTTTTGGAAACCCAGGCCCATGGGAACCAGTTTGTGAATGCGCAGGATTGGGGCAGCAGCCACCCTCACACACAAATCCAAGGACGTTAGGGGGAGGACACAGATTTGAACTCCTAGCCTAACTTTATTCTTCGCTACAGACTTTCCTGCTAGACGATAAGCTTGTCGGTTTTGACACTGCGCATTTTCCAAGCTACAAAGCGGAACGCTCCAGTGTGAAATGAGCACCACCTAAAGGGCAGAAACACGAAAATAACATTTAACCAGCAGGGTGAGGAGGGACGCTCCCCAGCTTTGACCAGGAAATAATGCTGTCTTTCTGTTTCTTTCTTTCTTTCTTTCTTTCTTTCTTTCTTTCTTTCTTTCTTTCTTTCTTTCTTTCTTTCTTTCTTTCTCTTTAAAAAAAAAATGACAACACAGAAGCACAGAGTTCCAGCTGAGCACTTTGGAATCAAGGGGTAAGTGTTCTACGCTTGCCCGAGTGTTCTGTATGCTGAAATCTCAGCAGCTCTCTGGCAAGCGCCTGTCACTGAGGGAGAAGTAAAAGATGGAGGGGGCCTCATATGCACCAGGAAGAGCCGGGTTTTATTTATTTGTTTGCTTTTTAGTATTTGTTTGGTGTGTGTGTGTGTGTGTGTGTGTGTGTGTGTGTGTGTGTGT